CTTGACCTTTTATAGATTACAGCGTTAACTGGGATATAAATGAGTGATTGATACTTAATAAGTATATTGGCTTCAGCCCTGCCTCTATTAAATATGACGACTCATAAACCTTTCCTTCGTCTTTAACAGCCTCTCACTCTCCCCATGTAAGACCACCACATACATAAAGCTTTTTTTCTGTTCATACTTTCATGGTTACTGTTCCCCTGCTTGCTTCATTGTCTATGATCGCAAATAGACATCAAAGAGTCCCTGATGATGAAGCCATCTGCCCCCGTCTCCCCTGCCCTGGCCTCCGTCCACTATGTCCACACTTCTTTGTTTGAGTACCAGGCTCCAATAGCCAGCTACACCACATTGCAAACACTGCAAACACTTTTTTTTTTCAATGATTGGCTGGCCAGCTTCAGCTCGCTGCGCTGTGGGTCAGCGAGTACAAATAAGATGACCTCAGGCTCTGGGACTGCTTGCTTTATACTGACCAATTGGAGTATGAGATCTGTTTTGGATGCTCCCATGGCAGTTGGCTTACATTGCTGGTATCATTAGCAGATGGTGCTTCTTCTTATTTTTTTTTTTTTTTTTTACATGATTTAACCTTTTTTTGTCTGTTAGTCATTCAAACATCAGAATGGGGGGGGGGGGGGGGGGGGATTTAGGGAGAATAGAGTTATCTCTGAACTACACCTTTTGCAAGCAGTCTTTGTATAAAGTTGTTTTAAATTTAATTCAACTTCAGCACTCAAACATATTTTACTAGAGATCTTCATGTATCAGTAATTCAGTCCTGAAATCTAATGTTTTACCTTCATCATTGGCTGATACCATCCACCTCTCTTTACTAGAGCGATTGTAAGAATATGAATATAAGCTGGAAAAACACTGGTTGTTAAAGTTGTGCTAGCTTTGAATAAGACACCAAACAGTTTTGTTTGTAATTAATTGTCAGACGATAATCTACCATACCCGCTGACTTTTTTTGGCATATTTGCTAATTTTATTGGAATGGTACTTTGTCTGGTGTATTTGTAATACTCAAGTCATACTCATGCTGTTACATAATTATCTTTATGGGTGGATGGATGGATGGGTGGATGGATGGATGGATGGGTTAAAAACACTTAGGTTAAAATACTTCTTCCAACAAAAGAAAATCAATGACAATGCAGGTTTCAACGTTAAGGTACTCGTTACCTCCTTGACTCATATTTACATAAATGGTGGTGGTGAGGGGGGGAATCATTCTGCATGATTCACCTCGTCAACAGGGGGTGCTTTTATCTAAAGCGACGTAAATCAGAGGGTAAGAACAACACAAGTAAGGATCTAGAAGAAGTCCGTGAAACACGTAGAAGACATTTTTTGCTCTGCTTAAATAAAATTGTAAAAAGAATAAATAAAAAGTGCCCAAGAAGTCCACAAACTAATTATTGATTTGATCACTTTTATTAATTATTATATTGTGCCTTTCTTTTGGAATGGTGGGATGTCACATCGGGTTGGTAGGCCATAACCCCAAATCAACAGTGGGGGAAATTCTGTTGAAGACACTGGATTTACACAGGAGATACTGTATTTTAGGGGGTATGAATATGAAATCGCAACAACATTGAGGTTAAACTACAAAAAAGTTTAATCACAATGCAAAACAAGCTGAATCCTACCTTTTTACATATGGTGCACATTTCCCTCTTGGCTTTGACTTTTGCGTCTCTGCCTTATAACTTGCAGAATCAAAGACTTCACTGAGTCAAGTTTCATGTCGTACAAGGGCCAGTATGTCCTATTATAGACCTGTAGAGTCTTTTCTCCCACAATTTGTGATTTTAGACCCCCCGTTACTGCGTCTGATCACTTGATTGTCATGCTCAGCCACACTTGGCTACACCACTGAGCCATACAGACTGCCATCACTTTCTAAAAGAAAGAAAAAGATGGCAAGCAATTAAAAACCAGTGTGTAGTTAGGGAAAGTGAAACGTCACAGCAGGCATTATAGAAGATTCAGTGAAGAGGCATGCTCCAGCATATGATCCCTGCATAACAACAGACACTGGGTGCATTTTAATTAGCTCTTGCCGTGACATCACAGCATGGGTGGTCTCAAACACTGCTGGAATTTTCTGTTGGATACTAATCTAACAGAGCTTTTGCTCCCCCTGAAAGCAAATGTTGATCTTTGTATCGGTGTTTGATCTAAGAGGGAATGGTGTTATTTTTGTGATGGCGTTTTAGAACTAAGTGGTGTCATCTTTTTGACGTAAAAAAAACATTAAATGTAAAATATCACACAATTTTTCTGAGCTATGTAAAGGGAAACATGAAAACCAGACTCCATTTACATTTCATGCTCATGAAGTATGCACTCAACTGCAAGGGGGAGACAGGAATAATGCATTCTGGCCATAAAACAGCAGCTGGGTGTTACGTCTTGAGCAGTTTGACTTATTCCCTCGTGTATATTTGCAGGCACCTTATGGGTCCCAGCTGAGGAATGAACAGAGCTGCAAAAATAGCACAAAAACTTTGCCAGGCTGTCGGTGGGCAAGGAGGAGCAATTATCATATCGTTCAAATCCGCCAGCTCTTCTCAGATCAAGAGTATTTGCATTGCGGTAAGGAGAGTGAAGAGGGTCAAATTGTTCTCAGCAGGCGTACTTCAGGACCTCCCTCCTGTGGCTCGAGGCGCTCAGATGTAGAAAAGTCAGAAGAGAGGAGAAGTGAAAATGGCTTCAGGGTACGGCGAGAGTTGAAAGCTTGCTGATAAAGTGACCTGCTGCCCCTGTGAAACAAACAGGAGTGCTTTCCTTTTGAAAAAATGAAGAGTTATTTGAATACCCACTTCTTAGCGTCACTCCAACAATGCACTTATTGATATTCCCTTTTTACTAAATCTCAAAGCTCTTTGCACAAAAGGAAAAGAAATACATTGGGGTATAAGCTGGAGGGAATATTAAATTCTGCTGAGGTTGCCATAAACCAGCTTGCTTTGTATTTGCATGGAAACTATAGGAGAGTGACACAGAATTCCACAACTTTTACTCCATCTCATTTACAATCAGTAGTTATTTTAAGGCTTGTTTTGCTGAACTCATGATCTCCAAAGTTGTTATAATAGGCGCCAAGATTCTCTAACAGTGGGGCTTTATCATCGATCTACTGCTGAGTGTGGGCTTTTATATAGAGAGCTTTCCCTCAGTGCCCCTTGATGCATTCGAAACAGGCTGAGTGAAGCCTCTTCTGTGCTGTGTATTCATTTAGGAGGCATTTATTTTTGATGGTGTTGTATCAACTGTAAGGCTGAATAAAGGGGATATGACAAAAGCACAGTCTGGACAAGGACTTATTCCTTTATTTACCAAAGACAGAGGTCTGCAAAACGTGAAAATACAGCATAAACAAGTCTTTGAGTTTCAGGAGAGTTAATTTGTTTCTGCCACTCTGAACAGTTACACCCCAAGCAAAATGGAGAATCTGAAACTACTCTGATAAACTTTTGAATTGCGCTCCATGTCATCCTGTAGCCCCAAGCTCCTTGAATGGAGCGCCATTATCAGGTTTTGGACCCCCCACCCTTTGATTCGCTTTCACTGGAAAATGACCGAACATCAAGCATTTGTAACCTCAGGCTAGAGTCGTCAGGGGTAAAAACCCGACAGCTTTAGCAGCGCAGCGACAACCTCCCAAGATAGCACCCAATCCCCATCCCTCCCTGCTATGATATCCCTGCTCCATCTGATGCTATCGCTGTAAAATGGGATGTTATCAGCATCCGAGATGATGCCGCACCATACCGTGTGGAGATATTGGATTCTAATTCACAGCCTCCCCTGCCTAGACAGAGATATGTGAGGCTCTGCAGGCAAAGCCAGTCCATCTGTGGCTTACTTAGCAACAAGGATTGAATGCAGCTTTATGCTCCGTCGTTCTGGATGTGTGCCCCCCTCAGGCCACAGTTGTCACGGTACCTGTTCATGCTGTACGCTTTAATGAGGACAGGAGAGGGAGATGATGGAGAGTCAATTACAAGCTCATGTTGGAGAGTAACACCATTTCACCTTTCATTACTCTTCAGTGCCACGGGCTAACCAGGGCTCATCAGTTAGTGAAAGGTGTTCATGCTGTGAAGGTTAGCTCAGGTCAGTCTTGTGTGAAACAGAGAAAACGGGAACATTTGTCAGTCATCAGATTCCTCTTTGAACTGTGACATTTGATAAATGAACAGTGTCCTTTATCAGCCAGCTGCAAATACTTAATAAGTCAAAGAAAAGCAAAATTTTGTTATAATTTTGTGAGAAACCTTTGTTTCTAAACTGATCCTATTTTGAAGGGACATTTTGATGCCAATTTACTTTCTTTCCAATAGTGAAAACAGCTATACTGACTTGGTACAAAACAACAGTAATTGCCTGTTAGTGCCTTTAAATGTTGCTAATTAATGCAATATATATTGTGTTTATTAACTGAAATAAACTATCACATCATTTAGGAAAAGTGTGTAAATTGTCTGAGGCTACTTGCTGCCTGACACATGACAAAAAGACTTCATGAAATCCCATTTTTCATGAAGTGAAAAAGTTTTTTTGGGACAATACAAACTCACATTTTTCCTTGATGACTTCGTTGAGCTCACTTAACTCATTAGTTTTGCTCAAGTTGCTTTCAGTTCCATTCTAGTTTTAAGTGTACAATGAATGTCAATTTAGCGAAATACTCATGAAAATATATTCAAGAAAACAGTTTTCTTGTTCTGACTTGTTAAGCGCCATTGGGTCCCTTGGAAAGCACTTTATAAATTCAAGCTATTATTATCCCTCCCTCCTGTCCAACAATTGAATTCCAGCTTTTATTAGATAATTTACAATATTGTTTGAATTGCATTGTATTTATGTCTAAGGTACTCACCCATCTCTGTGTTGCATGCATACTATACTAAAGATGAACGTTTGAACCAGAATTATAGGACTAAACAAAAGTCATATTGGCTTTTTCATCTTCACAGATCCGATGGACAAAGACAGCAGGCAGTGTGTCGGACCGCTTCCAGGACTCCAGTGTGTTTAATGAGACGTTGAACATTGCAAAGATCTTGAGGACACAGGGAGGACGCTACTACTGCAAGGCTGAGAACGGCTTAGGATCTCCGGCCATCAAGTCCATCAGGGTGGACGTCTACTGTAAGTCTGACTTTCAAAAATCATAGATAATTTTGTATATGTCATTATAATTGTAAAATTAAGAGATTATGCAATAATTTAATTTTTTTAACCTTTATTTATCCAGGCAAGTCCCATTGAGATTAAAAACCTATTTTTAAGGGAGTCCTGGCCAAGAGGCAGCAAAAGTCACACAGTCACACTCACAACATACAGACAGCAATTAAAATTATAAAAAACAGTTACAATTAAAGGAGGTCGTCTCAAGTGCTCTCAGCCTGGATTTAAAAGCATTCAAAGAAATCAGTTCAGTTATTTTCCAGTCTTTTTGCAGCATGTTCCATGTAGAAGGAGCAGAGTAGACGAAAGCCCTTTTTCCTAGCTCTGTGCGGGCAAATGGAACAGACAGCAACAGCTGATCATTTGAACGCAAACCTAAGAATCAACAGTTCTCCGTGTGATTGGGTTACAGATGTAGGAGGGCAGTAACCCAAGCATGGCCTTGTAAATAAAAGTGCACCAGTGTCCCAGCCTCCTGGTGAACAAACCTTAATTTTGCAGTGTTCCTGCTTGACAATTCCCCCACCCCCTGCCCTGTTTGTGAATGACATCAGATACAGATGATTTCCAGATCACTTTTTATTCAGTTTCTTAGCGTAGTTTAGCTTCTAACTGAAAATTATGGATTTTTAAGTTTTGTTTGTTTCCTGCGTTTGTATTACGAAGATCTGAGTTGTGTTAAATTGCTTCAGCTGTAAACGGCCCATGGGCTGTTTCACAATAAAAGCACTTCAACGGCATGTCAACTGGAGACTTTTAGGCTGCTATTATGTTTCTTTACATAGCAATGTCTACTTCACAAGACAGGTGCACAGGAAGATAATGCACTCTGTCTCTCTTGCAATGAACTAACTGACAATATGTTGGATACAAAACATTGCCTATGTATTTTTGCAAGATAGACTGTGAAGGAGTCAAATGTTTAAGTACTTGAAATTCTGACTTCAACATAAATCTTTTTGTGTCGTTAAAACATTAAGCTAATATATCCATTATCTTGTGTTATAAAGTAAATAGAAGTTTTGAATAGAATAGAAGTGTATTTATGAAACACATTTCATTACAGGTAACCTCAATGTGCTTTACTTTGAAGATAAAAAAAAAACATACAAAATAGCTGTGTCAACAATCATTGATATGATACAAAAAACTAATTAGGAACAAAACAGTACAAAGACATGATTGGTGAAGTTAAAAAGGGTAGAAATGTTTTATTTATTTATGTGTGTTTAAGCCCACTTCACACTTCACACTGCATTTATCAGTGCTTCAGCTGAGCCACCCCAGTCGAAAAAAAAGCTGGACACACCACTGGACTCAAGGCCTATCTAAGATGATAAATTGGCTAAAGGTGTGACTTTCAGAGTCTGTTCCTGTGTTACTCTGCCAAGGTCTGAACCAGATGATGCTTTGTCTTCTATTGCACTGCTAGGACACCAGAAAGCCTTGACCCTCTTTTCACACCTCTTATTATGTAACTGAGTCAGTCTCTTAGCAGTGAACACTTCTATAAAGAGCGGCTGCCAAAACGGTTATCTCTTAAATTAAACCCATATATGCTTTATTAAAAAGTTATAAAAACTTGAAGATGCACAGAAAAAATGAAGAGCTGACATATCCATGTCTTAAATTGCCAAAATCACCTTCAATTACTCAAATGCATCCATGAACACAGACGGCTGCAGCCCCGCCACTAAATGCTGATCTGTTTGTAATATCATGGAATCTTACAGCCATAATAAAGCAATATTTCTACTGTAAATGAAAATGTTGTTATTTGGAGAGAGAGCATCCAAAGAGACCTTTCATACTCTCCTGAAAATGATGACTAAGCTGAAACACTTTTTTTATGACAGCAAGAGTATATTCTCTTTTTTAACTTTATATAGGGAGGATTCATTAGCATCGGAAAAGAGTAATAGATCTTTTTATTTTATTGATGATACATTGACTGCCCAATTTTATCTCACAAGTAGCAAAATAGTGCTGGGGCAGTGATCTCAGTGTTCCTCCTCCATTAAGTAATTTATATCTGAGAGCATTTATACATAGATGGGAGGAGTTGTATTTTATTCATCTTCTGAAAGATCTATCAGCCGCTTTCTACTATTCCCTTCCCTGGTACGATATTTTATGCCAAGCTGCAGAGTAAAAAATCCAATATCTCTGGAAATTGATGACCTCTTTGCCCTTAATGTGTTGCCAAACATCCAATTATCAGTCACAGAGGAAAGACAGAGTTGGTTGAGCAAACATTCATGCACTAAATAAGATGCCCTTCAGCCCTTTGGCTTCTGTCTGTAGTTCTGTGAGAAATACTCTAGCACTTTGGGGCCTCTCCACCCTCTTCTTTAATATTTTCCCACCTGCCTATGTCTTATAGTCCTGACCCTTGTTCGTGTGGGCATCCTTGTATCTGTTTATTTGGACTGACATGGGCAGGGGTTGTGGAATTGAAGCTTGTTGTGGGGAAGGCCGCAGCGGAGCAGAGGCTGAACTCGCCTCAGCAGCTGACAGTCAGAACGTTGTTCCCACCATGCACCATTTCACCTTGGCTGCGTTAAAGAGCCGGAGGAGCAAGCGTGGAAGTGAAGCCAGATAGCACAGAGAGAGACACACCCGAGGATAATCACAGAGCGTGGCTCCTCAATCTTCTCAGGTTCTGAGGCTAGACTTTTCAAAATGATCTAAATGCAAATGGAATCAACCGCGTAACGTTTGATACATGTTTTTTGTTTTTTCAAAGCTCTGTTGCCCCTAGGACAGTTCTCCTTGCACCAATAGCATAAAACACATAAATGACATAAGACATCAAAATCAAGACAGCACATAAAACACATGAAAAAAACAATTAAAAATACATCACTGTGAAGGATATGATGCCACTTTTAGTCTGAATCTAGGGCATTCTGTACCTGCGACCTGAAGTTAAAAGTAGAAATTCAGACCAAAGAGCATTCAGTGGTACTGTTACGATCTAATTTTCAATTAGTGAGTCACCCAAGGAATACTGCATGTTTGTTTCCAAATGATCCTGCTGCAAAGTTTAACAGCTCTTTCCAGTTAGTGTTTGTTTAAATAATTTAAATTATGTAGGTATTCATAATATACCTACAGCTCAAATAAATACAGTCTACAGCCATTAAAGCCAAAGTGTGTATTTTTTTAAATAACACCTTGACAGAGCAAATAGATTAAATAAAAACACAGTTATTACAATGAAGTGATAATATCATATAGGTACATGGTCATGTCTGTAACACAATACAACAAACAGTTATACAATCTATTCACATTTGCTCTTCCACGCAAATCTATCGCAACATTGATGAAAACAGAAAAGCTACAACACTAATGAAACAACAAAGCAGAGATTCTTTTAGGATTTGCATTTTGTTCTCCTGATGATGTCCTTGCATCCGGCCTTGTAGCACTGAATGTGTGTACTTCATTAGCTCACACTATTTTGTTGCACATGCAGCTAAAGCACATCATTCCTCTGGAGCAGTGTTACAGCTGTCCCCTGGGGATGAAGTTAATTGACGAGCCTCGGCAGTATGTGCTATTTTTAGTGGTCTGCAGCTATGATTTTTAATTAGCAATGCATTTGCTGTTTTGAAGCTGGACCTCCCAACAACACCTTGACTTGTGCTCACTGTTTCTTTCAGATGTATCTTGCATGAATATATCTGTTCATATCAATGTTTTACATAAGAAACGATGAGGAAGTAGAAGTGGCAGTGATAAAAGAGAACGGAAACCGTTCTGCTCCGCGATCTGCTTTAAATCAAGAGGCTTTAAATTAGGGCTGCTCCATTATTACAATCGTTATCAAGATTATTTTTGATTGATATTGAGATCACGATTATTAAACATGATTACTCATTGATTTTACAACATTTGCATCTCATGTATTTACCAATTTTAAGCACTCTTAAAGGTCACATATCATACTTCTTTTCAACAATAAGTCTCAGAGCTCCCCAAAACATGTCTGTGAAGTTCCTTGTAATAAATCCACTCGGATCCTGTATTTGATCATGCCTTGTAACCCCTCCACTCCAGCCATGCTCAGAACAGGCTGTTTCTGTTTCTGTACCTTTAAATGCAAGTGAGCTGTGTTCGAGCATTGCTGATGTGATGGGAAAATCTCCAAACAGCCTGTTTGAGCACACATTTTCTGAAAAGTGGAGCAGGCAAAAGATGGAGAGGATGGACTTTCCTCATAATTGGGGGGTTTTTCGACAGACTAGGGACACATAGTATAAGAAAAACATGGTAACGTGTATTTTGCTTAATATGTGATCTTTAATCCTTTAACATTTGAACAATTTGAAAAACAAGTAATAAATACAAATATAAGTGTATCATAAATAATTATTAATCAATCCATATAAATTAATTATGTATTATAAGGAAGTGGTGATGTTCTCTTGTTGCCAAATTAAAACAACAAAAACTTTGAAATGAACATGAAAAAAACAAACATATGGACAAAAAAAGCGCAATCTCATCGATGTTCTTTCCATGATTGTGGGAAGCCAAAATTGTAATAAAAGTATAAACTTGATTAATTGCCCAGCCCTCCTTTAGACCTGAGTGATCTCGCTACTAACTTGGTTTCCTTTATTTGTTTTTGGTTCCAGGAATCAAGAGTCTTATTTTCAATATTTAAGATAAACACAAGAGACCACCTACATATGCGCACCTTTCTTTAATGAAAGAATGACTTCCTTAAAAAACCCTTTTTTCTACAAACTGCTGCAGCCTGATTGATGCAGCTTCAGTGAAGTTTACGGAAGGAAGAAGGAATGCAGAAAGAGAGCGAGACAGTCAAAGTGTTCTGTACAGACGTCTATCAGCAGCAGATGAAAGAAGGAAGGTAAAAGGAACAGTAATCAGTGTCCTCAGCAGTCCAGAGGAGCTGATATTTACTATACAGCCGGCTAACTTATTTACAA